AAAATCTAATTCACTTTCCCGGTCTTTTGTGCAGGGGTGGTAAAGATCAAAATCGATTTAGCGTAATCGAACTCTGTAATAACAATAAAGGAATGTTTTAGGGCACCGATATATTTTTTTATCACCTCTCTGCATCGCTGTAAATGTGCCACGCTGTAGGTGAAAATTTGGAAAGGAAAATGCCGAAGTAATGTTAATGCTGAGTCAAGAACCGACAGGAAAGAATTAGGAAAACTTTTTCAATTTAAATATCATGGACAGTTTGATGGACGATAGCAAAAGATATATTAGCATCTAATAAATTCTCGATGTTTACTGGCATTAAATGTTTAATAGAAACTCATGATTCTCATTTCATTTTTAATTATCTTAATAATATTTTTTATAGGATGAATCCGTAAACGAGCATATGGATTCATCCTATAATAAATACATCCTAAAGTAATCTGAGTCGCCCATGGTTACTAGGAACGCCAAAACGTTACAAGTGTGTTACCGGTCTTTTGAGGAATAGGAAAAAAATTAAATACCCTAGAGGCAGTACGAAGTGGCTTTGAAGAATTTGTTGCCTCCTGTCAAGCTGATTTCTATAAGAAGGCACCAATAAACTGCCACTGCGTTGGCAGAGCTGCATTGATGGTATGGGTGATTACTTCGATTAATACAAATAAAAAATATATGAAAAAATTTCGTTTAATGTTTTTCATATTAAATGGCAAAACTTTCTATGATAAATAATTACAGAAAACTTATAAATATAAATACAAAAGCACAATAAAATGTGTAAAACATTTTGTTAAAATCATCTAACTCATTGATTAAAGGATAAGTATCATCGAAAATGGTTAGCTAGCTTTAGATGTCACTTTAAACAGCTATTGAGCCAAAAAACATAATGGCTGCCATTATCCTTAAAACATTCTCTTGGTTTTTCACTTCTTCGAAGGATCATTGCCAAGACTAAGTCGTCCCATTGGAAGAATAAAGTGTTATGATCACATGTGTCGAAATTCATATTATGTTAAATTCGTCATCCTTATAATGTAAACTATCGATTAATACTATTTTTATATATTTTTATTAATTAATTCAAAAGATACAGTGCTCGAATAAAGTTTTATCCGCGCCGACTACGTAAAATAACTATGCATGATAACTATGATGATCACATACAACAATATTCTCCGCCTTGCTCCTGCGCAATTAGCTGCGCGTGCCGTGTCGCTTCATCCTAAGTAACGTTGTTCGACGAAGTAGCAGCGAGTGGTATTTGTTACAATGAATACCCAAAATTTGATAAAATATGCTGTATATAATGGTTTAATACAATTTACACTACGTTTTATAAATTTCCCACAAAGACAGTATTTATAATCACATAAAACATTTTTTTACGAAATACCAAAGCTTACTTATTAGAACTTAAATCTGAACTAAATACTTTAATAATAACTTATATAACATAACGGTATCTAATAGGACTTGTCTTATTTTGTCCCCTATTTTTCCAGTTTCTTATAAACCTAGTACATTTTACTACGTAAAATTTTATATTTTTTTCGTCCGCAAGTACGCATAAAACATTATTCTACAAAAAAAATAATTAAAGTGAGTGCCGTATATGCAAATGACACTTCTTTTTACCAACAGTTTTATTATAAAACAATATTCGAAATCTTAAAATTGCTATAAAATGGTTAAATTTAATTTAAAATATGAACAGCTTATTCAATAATCTATTAACAACTAAATGTACTAGGTAGGTATAGTAAAAAAGTAACTAATGTAAGTTTACATTGAAAACACCAATGGACCTAAACACAAGAGTGCACGCCTCCCTTTTTGACATGTTTGCTTTTTGTATTAGAAAAATCGAAATAGTTTATTTTTTAAACTCCCAGTTTAGAGCAAAAAAAAAAAATTAAACAGTGACACGTGAAAAAGTGAGTGCGTACTACCACAGTAGACCACTCGAGCGCTCATCAAATTACATATATCTAAGTTATGTACATACATTTACTTTACTAATTTTTTTTAAACTATTATGTTATGCATATACTCCTTGTTACTTTTACAGAATCAAAGGAAAAATAATTATATCCAATATAATTTTATTATTACATTTTTTCAATGATGATTTCTCAAACGATGGGGAAAGAGCAGGTCAGGCTCAATTGGTGAGTTTGTGGTACCAGTGGAATAGACGATCTTTGAGTTAGAATTTGCATTAAATAGGGAATATGAAATAAAGTACACCACCAAGACGAAAAACAGATGTTTGAATCAGGATACACCAAAGAATTGCAATTTTATTTATACATATTATAACGAGCAAGCGACGCAATACGCTACAAAACTATAGTTAAAACTACATGAGATAAGTACTGCAACAGCACTGTCGTAGAAGACGATTACAGAGACCGCCACAAAAATTAAAAAAAGGTAATCGTAGAAGACATGATCACTAGCGGTTGTGACCAAGTGAACTCATTTGCATCTATCCAATCACATTATTTAAGTAAAACACGACGTAATGATATCTAGACGGTATTGTCCGAATGTACAAATTTCAACAGAGTTGCACTCAAATAGGTTCAGTATTTTAAGCCATAGATTGTCCCAGTGATTGTTTCAGTGCCAGTGAACCGTAAACCAAATTTCAATCAAATACGTTCAGTGGTTTAAAAGATAGAGTCCTGAGATATAGCACATATTCTAATTCTGGGACTTCCGGGTTATTACTTTGGTACTAATAATGTGGCCTGATTTGTACCGGTAAGACGCTACTTCTAATACTATTACCTAAAGGAGACGGGCAAACATTCATGGTAAATTTGACCTCGATGGACTAAAAATTACTTAAAACAAATGAAATGCTACGGGTTTTCAAGGACTAATACTACTATGTAACTGCATTAGGATCAGGGATTTTCTAATTCAATTAAATGAATACGTTATTTTAATGGATTAGCTTCTGCCCAAGGCTTCGTTCGCGCTCTTTTAAAGGATTGGGGATAGGAATTCAAAAGAATACAAAAGCATTTGCTTTTACAGTTTTCTATTAGTAGTCAATAGATTAAGCAATATTTATGGTTGATTTTTCACAAATCGGGTTACATTTTCGAAATTTTAACACGGTTCCTATCTTTTTCTTATAAGGGGTGTAGTATGTAAGATTCCAACGCTAAAAGAATTTTTGAAATCCGTTCCGTAGTTTCGGAGCCTTTTTCAATTCAAACAAACAAAAATTTAAATCTTTCCTCTTTAGTAGACTAGTAGTTAGTATATTGTTTGTTCTTTAGTTTAGTGTTTTCATAATTGTTTTCTATGTTTGAGACTAATTTTTTATTTTTAATATTTTTTTAATATATTCACAATGGTGCCATAATTATTTATTGTGTTTTTATTATTAAGCTAACTTTATATTACAATTATATAGGACTGATTTATTCATGAGAATAACCACAGAAAGAAATAAGTCAATAGTTAGTTTTAAGTGATCTATAATATTTTTTTCTTATGGATCGCCATGTATTTATTTTGTAAGAATTGTAAGAGCATTATTCTGTTTTTCTGTCGCCTCTTTTAATAATTTTATAATAAATATCTTGATTAGGTTATTCCTCATAGTGTATGTAGTCAGTTTGTATTTATTTTTAATTTACTCGTATATTGATTACTACATTGACTAATAAATTGATTAAGAAAACACCAACGTTTTTAAATACATAAAAATACTCAGTAATAATGATGAATTTAAAACCAATTCTACTTTCTTAGTATTACAGTTTCATATAAAACACGGATAAAACCACCAAAATTCGTAAAATAATGTTTGATATGCCGATGTATCGTGAATAGTTTCGTCGAATATTGTTTTATGTATCCTTAAGACATCTCATTCAATATTTTTTTTGGCAAAAGAACGTTGTATGTGCACATGCGACCCATTATACTTGAAAAGGCATAGTTTATAAAACAAATAATTATATTATCATAAACGGTACTAACTTCTGTGCATACTGTACAAATATTAAGTAGCTAGTATCATTTATAACAGATTTATAAGCAAATATGTGCGCGCGAAATTTATAATCGCTCTACTGAAAAGTCGACAATTTGCAAATAGAACATTATTCTACTAATGGGACGAAGTACTAACGAGCGAACACTAAGTTAATAGCACGAACAAAGTTAGCCACGTTTATCGTCATACAGGCAAAGTTCAGAAGAAGGCTTATACGGTATAAAACGTACCATTTTTACGAGGGATAAGTACAGACTGCGACACATTGTACCTTATCCCTGCTTTTTCAAACAACATTACAACACTAATGTAGCCTTTACACAAAATTATTGGTAGTAAACCCTTAAGTATACAGTAATGAGTTCCAATTTATAGATAACTTACACAAGATAAACTGCTCATGTATTCTGTTTAAGCCACTAACGAGATTCAGGGTTGGATTCCCAGGTCGACAAAATGGCCGGTCAGTCGAGTAACAAATGATCTCGGTTTATTCATTTCTGCAAATGCGATTTATTTATACGAAGGAGAAGAAATAAATGTGTACGGTACATCAATTGCTACTCGTAATGAGATCATTTTATATTTTTTGAGCGGTTTCTTACACAAGATGTTTGAAATCATGCAAAATAAATTACTCTGAAGCAATTGCATTAAATTTCGAAAACAAAATATAATATGATGACATAAAAATTCATGGGTACATTTCAATTTATTCAATTTAATTAAAACATTATCAAAATGGAACGAAATAAAATCTTCCCTTAACATCACGCTGTATAGGGGCGCGTCAAGGCCCTGACAAAATTTCTTTTATCAGTACTTCCCTATCGCTAGCCAGAGCGACATTGTGCACAGTTAATAGGTATATCGGATACATAATTATATTAAAACTGTGGGGGTCATAATTTAACCAAATTAAATTAATAATTTTCTTCTTAGCTTTAATATTTTTTGATAATAAAAGCGTAAAATGTCTTTGATAAATGAAAGCGATTACGAGAACAACTCGTTTTCTTTCTTCGGACCAGTTGGCATGGCGTTCTACGATGACGGCATGGTCTTAGAAGACACTTTCACAATCAAAATTGCTATTAGTGTAATTTTAGGGATATACATGATTGTGAGTGTGATTGGAAATGTTTGTACCCTGGTTGTGATCGCCCAGGATCGTACCATGCGGACTCCAACGAACTGCTACCTCGCCAATCTCGCTATTACAGACCTATTAACTGCTCTCTTCATCCCACTGGACATTTACATTATCTTTGTACCCGACTTCTATCCTCTAGGAGAGGTAGGGTGTCGAATACATTACGTCCTTTGGGACATTCTGAGTAACTGCAGCCTACTCATCATCACGGCCTTTACGATAGAACGGTATATAATAGTGATGAAACCTTTTTTTCGTCAAAAGCTGACGCTGAATTCTCGAGTCTTCAAAATCGTTGGTGTTATATGGCTCATATCATTGAGTTTTTGTATCCCTGACGTGTTCTACATCGACCTCTTGGAAAGAAAGGAATATGTGTTTTGTTACTATTCATTGACGAAAATTGTGAGCATCGTGGTTGCTATCGAAGTATTTGTATTCTTTTTAATACCAATGACTACGATTCTGATGATGTACATCAAAATAATGATAAAATTGAAGACGGCACAGAAGAAGCTACGAGGTAGCCCGGTTGTTGGAAAACAGAACAGAGACAAGGCGGCGAAAATGATTGGTAAGTAAACTTACACAATTCTGCTTGTCCCGTTTCTTAATTAAAATTACAACTATTCTTAAGTTCCGAGAAAGCGGACTTTGAGATTATTTATAGCATGTTAATTATCAAAAGGGAAAATTCATTTCAATGCCTTTAGTAGTTGCTTCAGAAAATGATGAGAAAATCCAGTCAAGAGCGACACGCGAAGTGTTTCAAAGAAGTAACAAGTTCATCAAAGTAATTTATTTTTAGGGTTTTTGTTTCGGTGTAAAATTTCCCAACCCGGAAACAACTTTTGACAACAACTTTGTTTTAAGCAAATATAACGATTGAAAATGACGTGATATTGTTTCATCAGATTGTTGTTGACATAATATAAACTTACCGCCGTACTCAAAGTCATTAAATGGATACTTAACCCCGCCCTTAGTTAAAAAAAGTCAAATTTACAATAATTTGTGTCAAGTGTGAGAGAGCCATACTTCGGCACGGCAAGCTGGTTCGATCGCAGTGATACCACGGCCTCACAGAAAACCAACGTGAAACAACGCTTGCGTTGTGTGAGTACCTCACTCACCAGAGGCCCCATTCTCGCCCTTCCCCAATTTCCCCAATCCCTGAATCCCCAACGATCCTAAAATTTTTGCTTAGCGGCGCCGATTGCTTACCGTCAGGTGATACGTCTCGTCATTTACCGGCTATTCCTATATAAAAAAAAATTGAACGTTAAACAAAAAAAAAAATTAGTGTCAGTCTGTTGGCCGGTCTTTTCATGAAGCTATTTGCTCATTCCAAGGTGTAGATTCCTATGGAGATCCAGTTACTGAGAAATGGTTTAAGTGTCTAATTACTAATGTCTCCGAGTTTAGTAGTCACTTTTACAAGCTAGTAACACCATCTGATTATTATATAACGAATACAAATAAACAGACAAACATAGCAAATAATCCCTGTACGAACGATTAAATCATAAAAATGTGAGACTTTGTTTTATAAATAAATTCTTCAGTTCTGATTTTATGAATGAAAGTTTTATGGAAGTGTTTGCAGTAACTGGTGTTTATTACTTTGCTTAACAGTCGGTGCGAGCTTTTGTAATGTATCTTGTGAACTTAAGTTAGCCTTCTTCTACGAACGCGCTCCTCGCTACGTTTCCTTCCGAGAAACAACAATAAGGATCTTACATTTGAAACAACTATGCTCTAATGGAAAACTATACTGAAGTAAAGCTTCACACGATTCATATTATAATACTTTTAGGGAGCGTGAGTTTTGTCAGTTTGTAAATATACAATGCTGTAATGCAGTGTGTATTGACACCAACGCTTATGTATGGTAGTGAATCATGGGTGTGGCAGAAGAAGCATGAAAGCATTAATGCGGTGGAAATGAGAACCCTAAGAAGTATGTGTGGACTAAAATTGAGTGATCGAGTGAAAAATAGTGTTATTAGAGAAAGGTGTGGATTGAAAGATGATGTAGTGACAAGGATTGAAAAGGGAATGTTACGCTGGTTTGGACATGTAGAAAGGATGGATGAAAGTAGAGTAACGAAAGAAGTATACAGAGCGGATATGAATGGGGCCGTCGGTAGAGGGCGCCCTAGACGGACATATAGTGACCAGATTGGCGATATATTAAAGAAGGGCCAAATTAAAAGTACCCTTAACCGACGAGCATGCATGAAAAGATTGATGACTGTTAATGAAGCGAAAGAGGTATGTAAGAATCGTAGTAATTGGCGTTCCTTAGTCTCTGCCTACCCCCATGGGAGACAGGCGTGAAGTTATGTATGTATGTATGTATGTATGTATGT